GATCCCCCCAGCCAGGATCCCCGAGATCACATGGCGGAAGCCGTCAAGGCATAACAACTCACATATAGTCACTTCGAAGCAAACAACGACAAAGCCGTGTCGCAACGAGAGTGGTGAAAAGAAAGGTGAAACGGACGGTGAAACATGATAGGCGACCCGATGGCTCAGTTGGTATGGCGTTGGTCTTGCCAGCGCTGACAGACTGCCGGTGGTGGTTCGAATCCCTGCTGGTCCACTCGGGAGTCTCAAGTGCGACCCGCCGAAAGGCAACGGGCGCCGACCACAAAAAAAAAAACGGACGGTGAAACATGAGCTAATGTGAGAAATGATGAAGGGGCACCAGCAGCCCTCAGGGCGCGCTCAGAGTCCGCTCAGTAGTGCTTTTTCGATCGTCATACTCTTGGGAATTTCCTGTGCTCAACGAAAAAGGTGCTTGGTTGATGGGCACGGTGCCCCAACCGGTTCACTTGGAGAGCTGCCAGAGTTTGCGGTCGACTCCGGTACACTAGTGCTCTTGCCAATAGTCTTCATGAGTTGGAAGATTATGTTCATCATCTGTGAGTGGTGACATCTGTGCATTTAGCTCTTCAGATGACGTGCTTGCACCTTTGGCTGTGCGTGGCATAAGCAGTATGGCTTTTTGCGCCTGGCTAACTTCGTAACTGGCGGAGATTGTGCAACTATCTAAGATGCAGCTCAATTGACGCATCTGGCGTATGGCAGCTTCAAGGTCAGTGATCCTCTGGGATGGGACGTCTGGGATGCCTCGAAGCTTCTGGCATGCCTTGTTGAGCAGTTGGTGGCGGCATCAACTTCGTCTGTAGTGACTTGACACAGTGAATTGAGCAATTGACTTTGCTAGGCGATTGACTGCAGCATCCTCCATTGCAGTCGGGCGGGCAAATCAAAAAAGGCAAAACTACACGCGGGGTGTTCTGCAGTTGTAGAGCGGCTGCGCAGTCCATTCATCAACGGCGGTGTCATCTACTCATTTGAGCAAGGGTGGAATGACGTCCATTTGGAAGTCGTATTCGGTAGGTCAGGATGTTGGTTTGAAGTTCGGGCAAACAGCAACGGGTTCCATGGATTGATGTGCTTTGACATCATCCTAAGCTAGAAACTCCCAGGGTATAATAGTGTCTATTAATATCCCCGCGCCACCACCCCCATTCCAATCTTCTTCTCACTCCTTGTAATCCCTCACCACCTCTGCTGGGTCAAAGGTGTACTGGCCAACCATGAGTACCTCATGTTGACCGGTAACCATCTATGACGTAGGTCAATGTAGCACCGGTGCCGGTTCTCGGTGAGTGGCAACCGTGGGAACCTCACGTTGTCCGCTTGCACTTATTGGAAGTGCGCATGCGGCTGCGCTGGGGAGCGTGCTACGGCGACTCGGTGGGCTGCACTCTCCGCGGGTGGTAGGTCATCGCTTACACCCGGCCTGATCATTTGTGCAATAACTGGATGATTCTGTTTGTCTTGCATGATCCTGGTGAATTTCTTGGATGAAAGCATCCACCAACGCTTTAGCCTCTGCGAGTGGCCTATCAAGTACGATGGCAATGAGCATCTCTCCTCCATCTTTTTTGAGGGCTGGTCTGCCGGCTTGCATCTGCTCCAGGATTGCTACTGCTTTGTTCTCACAAAGGTTTCGTTCCCACTCCTCTATAGCTCTTTGCGCTAGTGATCCAGTTTGTGGTGGGACCGTTCGGAGCGCTGGGGTTCCTAGCGCCAAGAGGAATGCACTCTCAGGCAATGTGGCTGGCATGGCTGTAATGGCCATTACTGCTCGGCGGATGTCATTGTCCTTCACCTCATGGGGGATGTTTTCTGTGTGATGGCTGACTCTGAGTCCGCCCACAATTGTTGCAAGGCGAACCCTGGCTTTGGTTCCATATATCGTTTATTCCACACTGCGTTGTGAGACCATTGGGGTGCTTTGCGATTGATCTCAACCAAGTCTCTCTTCAGGTCATATTCACCAAGCAAATCGTCAAGCTCCTGTAAGGTTGTGTCCCGATGGGCGCAGCTTTGTCGGACAGCTCCGTCAATATGCAGTGGCCTTACTGGCATATGTGACTGTTCAAGGAGTCCATCGCCATTTTGTTCAATAATTGTGCCAAGCATTGGTACATCGATCGAGGCTTTCAGGCTGATTTGCGCTCGTTTGCAGTTCCATGTGTCCGGAGCGAGCAAACCTCGTTTGGCCAGTTTTGCTGGTGCTGGGAATTCCGGCTGCTCTCTTAGGGGCAATGCTTCTTCTTTGACTACAAGTTTAAGGCCGTGCATCGGTTCAGGCTGTTCCTGCTCGGCATGAGATGCAGGTTCCTTGGTGGTTATTATGTCCTCAAACCAGGTTCGAGGCAGAGACGTTGTGGGCGCTGCTGGCTTATTCCTTATAAAAAATATCTTTTCCAAACGAATGTGCTTTCTTTACGTAGATAGCGAAGGAACAAAGTTCGATGAAAGGTTCATCGGAGAACCATGCAGTGGATGTGATGGCACAGATTTTTGCGGAAGTTGAGACACATGTCAACACTTTATGCTGGCTGGCAAGGGTTAGCTCCTTTTCGAATTTTGCTGATGCTCCATCCAGGGGCGACTGCAGCTTGTTGAAACAATTGCAATTTCGAGATGTCTCTCTTGAAGCCACTGGTTGTTTGGAGAACATTTGCGCGTCCATGGAAGCAAAATTGGGGAGAGAGGCTGGACGTGCAAAACCCAAAGAGTAAAACAGAGTGCATTGCAGATTGCATGAGTGGCGAACGAGAATAAAAACAATGTTTCCACATTTTTTTAATGCAAAATCATTTTACAAGCGCACTTTGCAAGTTTATTTTTCCTTCATTGTTTATAGAGAAAATATTGCATAAGTTGGTCCCTGTTTAGAATGCACATGTCCAAAAGAACTATTGCATATGTTGAGGGAAACTCCTGTAGAGATGTAGCGTCTATACATTGCACTCTTTGGAAAGGCATTTGCACTTGTTTGTTTTGTTGTTTGAATTTATTATTGATGTTTGTTTTGGCTGAAACTGTGTATCTATGTAGGACATTGGGAGAGCTGTTGAGAATGCACAGTGGTTGCTTTTGTTACAGAAGCAACAATGTTTGGTTTTGGAAAGAACAGGGTTTGGTATCTTTTGCAGAAACGAAATGTCAAAAATTCCAAAAAAATGGCGCTCACAACACCCCCCTCCCTATGGAAATTAATGCGTGCGTGGTCGAAGCATGTGTTTTTTCATGACCGAAATGATGTCAATCCTACAGTCCTACAAAAATGGCTTGTTTACGGCCAGCAGCGCCGTGCAAAACGCTCGGGTGCACGCCGCGAACACACGTTGTGCTATATTTTGTAATTAGTTGTTGAAATATTTGCAGAGTACTGTTCGCGGTTTTGATTTTGTCGTTTAATATTCATACATACCCTTGTTTTGTGTTTTTTTTGTTGCTGCTCGTGTCCGTGTTGTGGTTGTGTTTTTTGTTGTTGTTGTTGCTGCTGGTGGTGGTGGTGGTGGCGGTGGTTGTGGTGGTGGTTGTGGCGGTGGTGGTGGTGGTTGTTGTTGTTGTTGTGGTGGTTGTTGTTGTTGTGGTGGTGGTGGTGGTGATTTTGCTGTTTCAGACGTTTCCGATCATCGGCACGGTTTTATCGCGCCAGTAAATTTGAGTTGCTATTGTTGCACATGCATACATTCCCTTTTCCCTGCAAGTCCGGTCAATCAAACATGTGTGAAAGTCGTTTCTTAGGTGCGCATTTTTTCTTACACTTTTCGATCTTTACTATTGTTGTTGATGATACAACAAAAACCGCATAGTTTTGTTTGGCATCTATTTTTTAATGTGGTCCCGTGTTGCAACAACTTTGTGCACAAGGGGTGGTCATGTTTGTGTTTTTTTGTGGGTGGTCAACGCAGCTGCAAAAAAATGGGCGAGGTGAGCATGTGTATCCACAAAATGTATGGGAACCAAGCAACAGACTGCGTGAAAAAAAATCAGACGGGCAATGAAGTAGGGTTGTTGTGAGCAAATTTTGTTTGTATTCATTTCACTGCTATGTTTCCACTTCGCCCCAGTTCGGGTCAAAACCCATGTTTCGAAGCAGTTTGGGTCAACGCAAAAACCGGTTGAACAGGGGCTGGGGGCCGTGCTCTATGAGGCAGCCATGTCTGTGATGCGACCGAGGTATACCGATTTTTTTTGGTATCAAGGTGACAGACACACTTGGAGTTTGCAGGTTCAAAGAAGATGACCTTGCAGTGCGAAAACATTTGAAGGCTGGGAACCAAACAACGCACCCCAATGTGTGTGCCCTTGCCTGAGACACCTCTCAGTTTCATGGTCAGCATTTGGAGGTCTTTGTCGGAGGCTTGCCTGACAGAGCCGAAGAAAGAGAGGCATTTCAACAGCAAAATGAATCAGAATGATACAAAATCACAATCACTCATGTTTGCCATGTGGTTTGCAAACAATTTGCACATTTTAGCAGCTTTCAGGTTGAACGGCATTTTGGCAAGCGGACAACTCAATGCCAAATTTGCCACTGTAATTTGTTTTTGTCAATTGTCAATTGTCAATTGTTTTCGCTGCAAGGTATGGGCACATCGTTCATTGCAATGTGTGCCCTCCCAAAGTGTTGGCCTGAAAAAAATAATGTGCGGATAAGTCAAAATTCAAAACCAAAACAATGCCGACAATTCCTGTCAGATATGACACATCTCCGTCAAAACCATGTCGTTTTGCCCAGGATGCCGACAAAAACAAATCTCCGTCAAAACCTTAGATTCCAAACATGTATTATATTGCCATGACTGGGTATGGCAATATTTAATTGTTGCTGCTGGTGACTTGTACGCACCTGATAGACATGTCAAATCGTCGCTGGCACTTGATGTTTCCTTTACTATATGGTGTTTGTTTGAAACATTGGCACTCAACACTGTCGTTTTTTTGCCAGCTGGTTAGTTTCTTCAGCGTTTTGACAGTCCTTGGCAATCGAGGTATGCCTTTGTAACTTTTAAATTTGCAGCTGATGCTGATTGCGCCGTGGTTGACACGCAGCACTTTCCAGGTTGGTCCCGGCACATTTTGGACACACAGTTGTTTTTCTAAACGTTATTGAAAATGAAAACATAGGGTGTCAAAGAATTGACTTCATTTCAGGCATCGTTTTGTAACAAGAACTTTTAACCACTTGGAACAACCCATTTTCCAAACTATTGAAGGCGTTGCCATGTTTTTTTCAAGTAACAAATCAGGTAAACAATGGTATCGATGTCAGGAAAAACGATTCGCATACGTCACACCTATATTTTGTACAGTCAAATTGAGGCTAATGCTACCCGGCCAAAAAACGGTGTTAATAAAGGGTGCCTTGAAATGCCAATTTGTGGTATTTGAAGACGCACATTTCACCATATTTCAGCCCCCAACATCTAATTTGAAACACCTGATGTTCTGGTTGCATTCCTGTTTGGTAGCTAGAGGGAGTACAGTACAGTTTCGTTCAGTTTTTACCTGGCATTTGGCAGTCACTTGACAAAATTCGTTGATGTGAAGGGTGCCTGTCCTGAACCTATAACTATATGACTATGCGACTATGTGCATATGTGCATGTGGCTATGTGACTTTATGGGACTATGTGACTGTGAGACTTATATATGAGATTACTTCCTTAGCAGCACGTTCCATGTCTGTGCAAAATCGACCAACTCATTCCTGCAGGGGTGCAAAGGCAGCTTGCTATGGGATTTGCAACGTCGAGAAAAAAGGCGCGGAAGATCTGAAAACAGATGGAAATCCTGGAAACACTAAGAAATACTATTTGTTTTTACCCTGTGCAGGATTCAGATGAGGCAGCGAAAGATTCGATGCTTAGCGATTCGGACCCTTGCAAGGTGCAATACCTGGACCCTTTTTAAAGACCTTGTTTCAGAATCCAAAATCACAGACATTTGAACATATTTCAACACTTTTCAACATTTCTTTGAATGGTTTGGTTATTCTAGAAAGCTCTCTCTGAGGTGTTCGTGGGGGGCATAAGTGACAGAGATGGCGAGGAGGAGGCTGTGGCTGTGCATTTGATGGGATATGGTTGGTAGTCCTACTAAATTTGCTAAATGTAGAAGCTTCGCTCACCTTTGTTGTACAACGAAGTCATGATCACTTTTTTTGATGTTTGTGGATTTTGTGACGAAACAGGTGAGATTTTGATTTGCAACAGGTTGGTGACTTCTTCTCGCAGTGGGGTCTTGTCACCCTTGTTTACAGGGACAAAGCCACTTGGCAAGTAGCTCAGAAACGATGCAAAACGGAACATTGTCTTCATTTGGATGGATTTTGTGTACAAGGGCGTGCGAACACGTTAAGCCGTGCTCCAATGGCACTCAAATTGTGCAAGCAGATCATGTGTTCAATTTGTCCCTGAGGGGATTTGTGCACTTCGCCACCAAAGAGGGCGCAATGCGGGTCTTGGAAGAGAGTGCACTTCTAAGTTTTTTTGAACTTTGTTTCTTAATGTTTCTTAGAACTTTTCGGGCTGCGCTATCTTCAGATCTGAAGAAATGGCCGGGCAAGGCAGCATTACCTATCATCGAAGAAAACTCGACATCAAGGCCTGCTGACGAAGCAACTAGCTTTGCTTTATGCACCGGACATGATTTGCATGGTGCAACACATGGCATGTGTGTGCCGTTTTCATTGCTTTTAGTGGTAGTATGTTCTCTTGTCTGGCCTTTTGACTCTTCGTCACCCCTTTTCTTCTGCTTCGCACTGTGCCAGAAAGCCTCCGAGTCGAAAAAGGTGATGAGCGACGATGAGAGGACGCGCATACAGATCACAGATCAGCATGCAGCATGCTTGACAGACATCGCCCAGCTATGCCCAGCTCCCGTTCCCGCCGTTCCCAGTCTTTGCACCTCTCTGAGCGAAGGCATGACTTGGTGAAACGAGCCATAGCGAGGCAAGGCCGCAAGGCATTCGAAGATCCAAAAAATCTTTCAGCCTCCTTGAGCATCCTTCAGTATCCTTCCAAGCGTCAAAGCACAGGCATTTCCACAAGAAATCAGCCCCTCCACACCCAGGCACGCTTCTTGATTTTTGACATTTGTGGCTGTTGTGGCTATCGGAAGTAAAGGAGACGTGCTTGGAGACGTTTTATAATAATGTTTGACGCAGGCTATCCTCCTCCAGGAGCTTACTATCCGTCAGAAGTTTAGACAACCTTTGACACGTGTCATGAATTTGTGCATGCAAATTTAAACACGAAAAGTATCACGTGCCTTTGGTTGGCATTGGCCAAAACATCTTGGCGAACATGTTGAAACCTTCCGCTTTGGTCATTCCTTGAGGCCTCCTCCAGGTTACTATGGAGCACCGCCTCCAGGCCTTTGCAAATCTTTGCAATTGCATTTGTGGAATTGTGATAATTTGTGCAATCTGCCTTCTTTTGCTCTGCAGGTTCTTGATCTTTGGTGATCTTTGCATATTTTGCTACAATCTTTGCATAGATTTTGCTGTTCGAAGGCTATCCTGGCTACCCACCTCCTAGCTATCAACCGCCTGGATACCCTCCGCATTTGGCTCAGATGTGAATGCATCAGTTGGAGACATTGGAGGGCTGCTATGCGTAGGGCTGAAACCTGGCTGAGCGCCCTGAGGCCCCACTATCCTGCAGCGTATGGATCACCGCCATGCTCTGAAAACGCCGTCGACGGAGTCCATGCAGTCGATGCTTGGACGTTTCAGTGCTGTATTGAGGCCTCCAAGCGGCCCTTACGGAGCGTCGGGAACTTAGAGAGAAAGCTGTGGTGATCAAGAACAAACCAAACAAACCTCTAAAATCCTTTAAACAGTTCAACATCCTTGGCGAATCCTTGGTGTATGAGATTTGAATGAAACACCCAAATAAACACAGATCCTTCATTTAACCACATTTAAATCACCAAATCCTTCAGATCTTTGGAAGGCCCCCAGGGTCGAGTCCACCTCCTCGGGAAGGCAAAGATTCGGTCTAAATGGCTGCTACTGACAGTTACTCGTGACATTCATGTGATCCAAAGGATTTTTTCTCGATCCCTTTCGACGTTTTGACATATATATATATATACTGTATATATATATATACACGTAATATTTGTTTTTCCCCATATCTTTGTATGGGGTTCTTGTTTTTGATTCTGTATCCCGCTCCTCCTCCGCCGCATCCTCCTCTGCCTCCTCTTGTCACAACTTTGTCACACACAACTTTGTAACACATTCTTTCACACACTTGCTCAGAACTGTCGTCGCGAATTTTGTTGTGGAATACATCAGACGTGCAAAACACCAACAATTAACACGATGAAATGACCTAAATAAATAAATAAATAACTATATATATATATATATACACAATCACAGTAGAGGTTGACCGTATAAAACAACAGCGGTAAAGTATATGTCCCTTTAGCTGCGACTTAAATGCGCCCAGGGGCGGGACTATACATATATATATATATAATGCAGGTACGTTTTCACAGGAACATTGCAGCCTCTTCGTTGGCCGCTGACTGCAATGTTCCCCAGCGGCCCCCTGCAATAATTAGAAGTTTTACATCTATTCAGATGGCACACACACACAACTTTGTCACACACACACAACTTCGTCATACACACACAACTTCGTCCAACACAACATTGCCACACAAGATTGTCACACACACACACACGCAACTTTCTCACACACAACTTTGTCACACACAGCTTTGTCACACACACACAACTTTGTCACACATAACTTTGTCACACCAACTTTGTCACACACACAACTTGCTCACACACAACATTGTCACACACTCTCCTTTCGTACACAACTTTGTGACACACAACATTGTCACACACACACACAGACAACTTGCTCACACACACACAAGTTTGTCACACACCATCTGTCACACACAACTTCGTCACACACAACATTGTCACACACAACATTGTCACACACCATCAACCTGCGTTCTGCCTGGCAGGCGTGGCACTTATGGCACTGGGCTGCATCTGGTGGCGCGCTTGGTCCCCGTTGGTCGCCCGGGGCGCCGCGGCACTTTGCGTGGCAGGCGTGGCACTTGGCGACAGCCGCTTGCGTTTCGCGTGGCAGGCGTGGCACTTATGGACATCCACGTTCCATTTGCGTGGCAGGCGTGGCGCTTATGGCGCTGGGCTGGATCTGGTGGGGTGAGTTGCGTTGGGAGGGAGCGAGACGGAAGCGACGACAGGGTGGACGGACGGGAAACCGTGAGAAATAGCTTGGGAGAGCTCCGATGGGAGGGGGCGATATGTAGTGGGAATGTCGAGCTGTTGGCACAGGTTTTCAGGACAAATTCCATCAATGCGATTGTGCCGAAAAACTGTGCACCCAAGACTTGTCAAGCGGTGTGCAAACACTGGGCGATGAGACATGCATAGCTTCGTTGGCAGAGAGCAAGGCCAAAAGAGCAGAGCTGTTCGCACGGGTTTTCAGGACAAATTCCATCAATGCGATTGTGCCGAAAAACTGTGCGCCCAAGACTTGCAAGCGGCGTGCCACCACTGGTTGATGGGACATGCATAGCTTCGTTCGCAGGGAGCGACACTAAAAATGTGCAGCTGTTGGCACGGGTTTTCAGGACAAATTTCATCAATACGATTGTTTCGAAGAACTGTGCGCCCAAGACCTGCCAAAGTTTCCAAACCCTGGGCTGGGTCTGGTGGCGCGCTTGGTCGCCGTTGGTCGCCCGTGACGCCGCGGCACTTTGCGTGGCAGGCGTGGCGCTTGGCGACATCGACGTTCTATTTGCGTGGCAGGCGTGGCGCTTGGCGACATTGACCTTCGTTTGGCGTGGCAGGCGTGGCACTTGGTGACATCCACCCTGCAAGTGAGTCCATCTCTCTCAAATACGACTTTGTCACACACACAACTTTGCCCCGCACAATCTTTCACATCTCTCTCTCACATCCATTTTATCGCGCACAACTTTGTCACACACAACTCTTTCGCACACAACTTTTTCACACATCTCTCTCACACACAACTTTGTCACACACACACACACCACAACTCTTTCACACACATCTCTCTCACATGCAACTTCTCTCTCACACACATCTTTGTCATACATAACTTTTTAACACATCACTTTGTCACAGACAATGTTTCACACACAAATGTTTCACACACAAATGTTTCACACACAACTTGCTCACACACACAATCTTTCACACAACTTGTTACAACTTTGTCACACACACACACGCAATCTTTCACACACAGCTTTGTCACAAACAATTTTGTCATACACAACTCTTTCACACACAACTTTGTCACAGACAATGTTTCACACACAAATGTTTCACACACAACCTTTCACACACAACTTTGTACAATTTTTCACGCACAACTTTGTCACACACAACTCTTCACATACAACTTTTAAAATGATCGATCCTCCACCATTTCCTTTGTGTTTTCTTCTTTCTCCGTGCCGCTTCAACCACTTTTTCTGATTATTGGAAGAAATTGACTTGTGGGGTTATCCGGTCCTTTAATTTCCATCTATGTTTTCTTTGTGTTTTTGCCTCGCGCCCCAAGAACTGCGCAGGGCAGCAGGCCCTTCCACTTGGAGACGATCCGTATAGGGATCCCAGGGATCCTTATAGAGATCCATATCGACCTCCAGGTGCAGCTATGCAGTTTGGATCATTTTGGCACTTTGTGCAGTCATAAGAGTGCTCATGTGACTCATATGTTTTCATGCTTGCTCCTGACGACAGATCCATATGCCTATCCTCCTCGTGTATGGAACCCAGATGGAAGGATGACCGAAATGCTGTGAAACCACAGACCTTACCACAGACCTCCAGATCTGAGGAAAGTAGAGATCCTTATGCGGGTTCCTGCCTTACGATGCCTCACAATGCCTCGAGATGCCTCAAGGGCCTTGTGCCTGGTTGTGCCTGGTTTTGCCTAGTTGGCACAGCCAATGCTTGGAGCGAAGCTGTTTTTCAGTGCACTTTCTACGTCTTTCTACCGCACAAAGGTTTTTTCTAAACTTTTCAGATGAGGCTATGATCGCGAGAGGGAGCACGACAGATACCGTCGACCAGAGGACAGCGGCCGTTGGGCGGATTTGGGCGGCTTTTTGTGTAGCAGGACTCTTAGATCTTTTAGATTCTTTTAGTATGACATGATTGCAACTTGCACATGCACCTCTTATATCCTCTTATACATATAATTTATTATCATTTCACATGTCTCCTTTTTGCGCTCAAGAGAGGAACGAGATCCCTATGCACACCTTGCAGGCAGTGGAAAGTGTCAGACTGTGAGACCAAAGATGGATGGAACAAGATCGAAAGTTCGAAGATTAACCCAATCGGGACAGCAAGGATAAATTCAACAGCGGGAAGAGCATACAAGAGGATGAATGACTCCCAGATGATGAATTACCATAAACATGAACCTCTCTCTCTGTCTCTCGCTCTATCTCTATACACATACTATGTTAGACATGAATGAATGTACGTGCATACGCAATATACAATGTTGTACATTGCTATATGATACATTATTATTATATACTTGCTGTATATATATATACACATATAAATATATGAAAAATATATCATAGGCTATATTATGTAATTATATATATATATGTATGTATGTGATATACATGATATTTATGGAATGTATCGTTGTGCTTGTGCCCTGGGAGTCAGTCAGGTGCAGCACCTCCGCCAGGCCCACCTGACGGAAACTCGGACAAACTGCGACGAGAAACCGAGAAAGATCGAAAAATGGAGAAACTCCGTAGATGATTAAAAAAACAAAGTAGACTTAGCGACCACATAGATAAAGACGACGTAGATAGTACGTACGACGTAGATAGTGACGATGTAGATAGATCTACGTAGTTACTATGTAGTTGGACCACGGCTCATAATTCGCCGCGGTAAAATATGCATTTTTTAAAATCATTTTAGAGGTTATGATATGGGGTGGGGTGGGGTGGGGGCTAACAACGTCCTGTTGTTGCATCCGCATAGACGTGTATTCTCTCGGATGCGTGGCTACGTCATGGGGTGGGGTGGGTTGGGGGGCTAACAACGTCCTGTGTTTGCATTCACACAGACGCGTCTTCTTTCGGAATCAAAGATACGTCACGCTACGGATGCTACGTTGATAACATGTCTGCATGCCACGGTTGCTACGTTGGTGACATGTTTGCACGCTATGGATGCTACGTTGGTGACACATCTGCACGCTACCGATGCTACGTTGGTTGCACGTCTGCATGCCACGGCTTGGCGAAAAAACTTGGGAACCTCGAATGCAAAGACTTTCTTGCGGCATCTAACAAAATTTGGTGAAGATCCGACTACTTTACTCGCATTTTGCAGAAAAAAAGGCACGTTTGCAAAATTGAATTCACACGACAAGTAGAAACCAATGTAATTGCGATGATTTGAGTGCGACATACACATCACCGAAATGTCATTTTGACTCACGGCGAAAAAGACATCTTGAAGACATATAGGTCCTATAGGTCCAAAGAAATGTTTATGTATATTCAATGTTTTTAGAGACGTTGATGCTTTGCTTTCTTCGTGTCAAGATGTTGATGAAACTTGTTGGTCCAGGTGCCTATGCTTCCTACGCAACGGATCCTAGGTACGAGCAGAGGTGCAAGACGTGTGGGGCGAATGTGGGACTGCAAAGTGTATGAGTCTATATCATTGAGGGTTGAACAGAATAGTTTGAATTGATCAATCAATCAAAACATCCCATGGCAAATGCTTTTTATTGTAGTCTGTTTTCAACAAATCCAAAATGAATAGGAATGCCAGATTGTTCATGCGAGACAATGTACAAAATTTCAATTTTTGCATTCAGTTGAATCATATCTATATATATATATATGTACATATCCATACACACACATATGTATTATATTACGAAAGCCAGCTGTCAAGCTTGGCTTAAGTTGCTCTTTGCGAACGAAGTGAGAATAGGGGGTCCGGGGGGCGGTCGCTTCAAAACGGACCATTTTGAGGCACTTCCCCAACTGCATAGGGTGGCCTCCGTGGTCGATTTTGAGGCTGATGTACCAGGTGGCAATTGGGTGACGGTGGGGTTCGATTCCCCCCTGGTCCGTCTAGTGACGTGCATTGGGGGCACGGAAAAACGTGCATTGGTGGAGGGGGAAATGAAGCAAGAATGGAGTCTCACATGGTCCACTAGTGCAGCATCGGCTTTGCAGCTGCTTTGCAAACTATTGCTGTCTCGAACCATCGCTCCTTTTTTGTTCATAAGTATTTTGTAGCTCAACTGCATGCATGGCTTCAATGCCGGCTCCGATTTTGCGGTCGCCAGAACGGGTGTCTGATCCGAAAGCTTTGCAATCACATGTGTATAGACATGTGTAGCCCACAGTTTTGCAGTATTGCGGCTTGCAACCAGACAGCATTTGATATCCACTGGACGGGATTGGATGTATTCCACCAGTTTACAACATAGTATCGTATCATATCGTGTATAGATTACATATATATATATGTATATGTATGCATCTATGTATATATGTCTACAAGATGTCAATATATTTTGTGGGACACTAGATTTTGATCCCGACAAACATACCGAAATGAAATTGTTATTGTGATTCTCATTTATAAATGACTTTGTTGTCATCCTGTAGTGGATCATGTTTAATTTCTCGGAGGTTATACATACCCAAAAGTGACCTCCACCTCCTCTTTTCGAGCTGTTGTCGGTCTTGAACGATGCTAAGAATTCTAAACACTTTATAAAAAGTGTTGAGAATTGATTTGCGGTCTTATAGAGCCCAGCATGCGCGTTCGTTGGTCTCTATTCAGGCATTTCCGGTGACATACATACATACAGACATACAGACAGACATACATACATACATACATAGAAGCTAGCAGATGAGGAACTTGATACACACTTGGATGAATCCACCATCTGCAGAATCTACTCGTACTGGTAATGTTTCTTACTTTTGCATGGCTCCCTCTTAGCTTACCTTCAGCAAAATCTATGGAACCCCATCATTGTCATACTTGATGGAAAAAATAGAAAATCCCATTGTTTCCTGTTCCCGTGGAGTGTCAGGTGCGCAGTGAAGAGCCAGGAATGTAAAATATAACTTGTACAGTATGAAATGTAGGGGTGTCGATTCTATAGTATAGACTGTAAAGTCTAACGTCGAACCAGTCCAGTGTGGAATGTAAAATGCCACATATGGAGTGTCAAGTATAGTATGTCAAGTCTCCTGCACATTCCTTCCCTCTCCCCACGGATTCCAAAACGGCACTCAATATAGCCTCGCACTGCCGCCTCCTCCACCAATCCCCGCCGAAATCCCTCCCATCCTCTCCACTCTCGTCTCCCCATTCCAACTAGTTCCTGGCTTTCGTCCCCTCTTCTCAGGTTCTTACATAATTGTAAATAGTAATATATGTATAACTGGTATGCATGTTATTGCATTCCACATTCATGATATTTCATCACTATCACCACTGCAATCTGCATCCTGAGAGCACGAACTTATACCCGTTGTGAATGCAAACCGCCGTCACTTTCGTGTGACAGGTATCAGCCTTACTGATCGAGTTCACGAATCCAAGCTGGAAGAATTTCAGAACAGCTGACCAGAGCTTGGAGGTCAAATGTGCTTCCGTGGGAATCAAAGTCTCATCACAAAGATAGCAATGAAATGAGAAAATGCAAGGAGTCAGAAGTCTTTCGCTTTTCGCCGAAACCACGGGTGCAAGTCAGTACAAGTCCGATCGTATGGCGAAGCAGCGAAGAAATGGAGCAAGGCTGAGCAGTTGCCAACTGAATCAACTGAGCATAACTGAACCTTAGACTTTGGACTTCAAAGATACTTCATTTTTTTGTTGTCAAGATGAACCTTAGACTATAATACTTAGCAGATGAAGCTCCTGGTGTCAAGTTGTTGAGGAACCGTTGGCACAGGGTTTGTAATTCCTTTCTACCCCACTCCTGAAACTTAGAACTTCCAACACCTTCCGACAATGCAAGGAATCTTCCTGATAAATCTTAAGAACCAAGTATTCGAGTGTGTGCTTCCGCATTCGCTGTTTTCTCTTCAAATCAAGTGAGAGATGTTCCACCATGCCTCCCAAAAGGACAGGAGTTCACTGGTCATTGGATCATCTTTGCTGTGATCAGGGCTCTGTGTTTTGCAGTGCAAGCTTTGTTCCGTGTGAGAGGAAACGAGCTGTGAGCAAGGCAAGGAAGTTGGGACAGTCACAGTGATTGAAGGATCATTGCGTTGGGGAAGGATTTGGAAGATCGAATTCAGTTGTTCCTGATGAATATTCTGCTTTTCCCATCCGTCATGTCATTGTGAACTCCGCAAACACAAGTTCATTGGCTGTAGGTCCATGTGCGGTTCTTGATTTTGCTGGTGAGCACTAGCTCTACTGTAGTGCTTGTAAAAAGAGCTCGCTTCAGCTCCTTCACTTGTTTGGCTTGGCTCAAGACTCTCGGGCTGCTGAAACTCTGCGGACAGCGCATCCTGGATGCAAGTGATGGAATCTGACCACATGGCTGTTAAGCTTGACAAACAAGCTACTTCATATACTTCATATACAGATTTGCTGCCAAGGCCCATACCGCCGACTTACGATTGCTCCAATTATCATATCGCTCCGGTTGGTCCACAACCTTCCCCATTGCAGCTTGGCAAAGAGTCGAGACAGAGGTTCACAAATGTGCTGACTCTTTGTTTATCTCATCTGACATTTGATACATTTTGCACTTGCTCATACTTAGTCATACTTACTCACAAATGTGCTGACCGAAGTGAGGGGAGTGAGTTTTGGTTTCGTCTTCCATCAGTTGTTATGTTGGTGCGCAGTAGACCACTTTTGGGGCTTATGATAGTTGGAAACTGGAGACTTTCCTTTTTCACATCTACCTCCCATTTCCAAGATCTTTTAGGAACACCTGGAGGGTCGGGTCCCTCCCATTTTTGCCCCTTCTGCTGAACTGTGTGGGTCCGTGGGTGCTGCTGGTGTTGCGAGTCCCAGGTGCTTGGCTGCAGTGTGGCTAGGCAAAGAGATGGAATTCGCTCAGTGACCCTTGGGGTTTCAGTTTTGTTCGGCGTCAAACAGATTCAAATAGTATACGGTAAAATATTGTACATAAATATAACATATACAAAGATGTGGATCAATTTGGAGAGATATGGGCTAATATGGGTCACTTATGAATCAGTATGAATCAAAATGGTCTTTGCAAACTTTGCATGACTTTGCTTGTGAAAGATGTCGAACTTGATCATTTGATGATTTTGAATTCATTTGAATTCATTTGATGTCCGTTTCGTATCCGTTTCGTATCCGTTTCCGTCCCAGGTGTGCAGCGTGGACCACCGCAACTTTCCCCTGAAACGCTCGGAGCTGCGGCTCCAGGAGACAAAGTGCGATTTTTCACAGAAATTGAAAATAATTTGATATAATTTGAAAGAACAGTTGGCAGGAACAGCTTTATATTTATATATAAATACAACTGGAAAGAACTGCAAATTACTCATACTTTCTTATCTTTCTTGTCCAAGAAAGAACAACAAGTTGACGCTGTTTGAAAGTAGTCTATTGCATGGTATGAATGTACGAATGATTGTCTATAGACGTTGGACCCTTGTGTAGGGCGATCGTGCTTTGTTTTGGGAATTGTGTGACGGGCGTTGATGTCGACATGAGTCCGACATGATATCCTAAGATCATGAGCACGAAATGGGACTAGCCACCAGTTCGCGAGTCACTACTGAGTCACTACTGTACTGGTCGTAGTCTGTTTCCTTGACATTTTTGGACCCGATGCACATCTTGTGGGTTTCGATGTTCAACGTTTTGGAGCTCCCATTGGAATGTCTGAAAGTTGTTGGCCATTGCAGGACCCTTCATTTGGGAGCCCCTTGGCTAGGCTTGATACAGCTCTTGATGCTGTCTGGATAGGATGTGGTAAACCAAAATGCACGCTTGACAGATGAGGAAGGAAAAGGGGTTCAAATATATCCGCGAAAATCAGCTCCAATACAAACACAGAAGCAACGTTCAGATATAACCGCCAGATTTGGAATAAGTGATTGGATTGCAAGAGCAACTGAGAGTAGGTTACCAACCTTTTTTAATGCTACGAATTACCAAATTACCTGGTTGGAAAGCAATTGCCAACATTACTGGATCGAAATCAGGTTGCTGTCGTGACTGGCAGCTCTCAATCTTTGCGACCTAAAAAACTTACTGGTTTTCAACCGTCCACTGCGTCCACTGCGTCCACTGCGTCCACTGCGTCCACTGCGTCCACTGCGTCCACTGCGTCCACCTCTTCTGAGCATCCCAAAACTCCTAACCCGCCAAGTTTCCAAGTCCCCTGTTCAGGCTCCCCAGAAAACCTAAGTGTCTCACGTCTGCCATAAACCTTGATGGTCAGATTTTAGTTAGTTTGTGGTCAAATCTCAGTTCAGAGCAGCCGTGTGTGGGGCGGATTTGAGCCCCTTACTGATGAGGAAACCCCTCCTGAACGAATCTCATGGCGGACTTCATGGAACAGGCTGGCATGCCGAAGTTCTCCCACACCGATACGTATGCTTCAGGCAATCTCCAGCAAAATAAACTGAAACAGATCTTCCGCCTTTGATATGACAGGTGCAGACTGTGCTTACCAACTTAAGTGCAGAGGCTGGGCAAGCGTTTGTGTCATCCTATGGTCTGGATTTACACGGATCATGATTTTCAAACAGCCGTCCGTGGTGCAGGGTCAAGATCTAGAAGCATAATTTTGAGCGTGGCTGTTCTGGGTGGTTCCTCATTGACGGGCTCCCTACGACTCCTGCTCAGATACTTCTCTTTGGTGGAGCCTTCTTGCTCCAATTTTTCCTTTTTGGCAATGTCTGAAGCTTGGGAATAGATTGAATAGATTCAGTTCCACACCCAGGGTGGAGGGTGGAGGGTGGAGCTGCTGTACTGCTGTACCTGGAGAATGTTGTGGAGAATCTCAGAGATCCTGCAAGAGCCGTTAAAACCAAGGTGCTTTGGCCTTGGCGGAAGAAAGGCAAGGGCAAGGCGAGATGGTGACAGCATGCTGTGAATGACATGCTTGGACATTGGATGACATTGGCACAGGCTTACTTGGCTTACATCGGCTTATCTTCTCCAACTTGTAGAGGCATCCAAGAAGCTCGATCCTTCATCCAGTCTCAGCAAGCAAGAAGTGGAAACCACCCTTGAGGCCCTACGTAGAGACCATAGACACATGCAGGTGCTTATTTGCCATCAAATCAAACTTGATCTTCCAGACCTTCCGGATGATCCAGGTGTTTAGTTTTTTTGGGATGTTTTAGGTGGATCGTGAAAGTGTGAAGCACTTGAAGATGCAGCAAGTTTCCAGAGGAGTCCCCAACGTGCAGACAGTTTTGAAGTTCTGAAACGTCTGCCCCGTCTGACCCGTCTGATCGCCATTGGGCCATTGGTCTGGCCGTCCAAGCTCCAAGCTCCCGGCGAGGCCACGGAAGCCGCGTTTGAGCAGGGAGACCATCGTACAGTTCTTCGGAAATGGGGCACCCTGCAACGAGCCGGTGATGTGCCTTGTCTCAAGAAACAACTCCCACCTCAAGAGCTGATGTACCCATAGTCAAAATAGTCCAAGAATAGTCAACATATTCATAAAGAATCAACCGTCATACATGTTGCATATGATTTTTGATTGATTTTGAATATGTCTGCCAGTTGTTGTCACTTGTCGTCACGTCAAGCTCACAACTTTCTGTTTCTGTTATGAGGTACCAGCACAGACTTTGGTCCAGGCATCGCAGATGCAGTTACTGTCATGGGATAAAAGGTGCTGTGGCAATCTGTGACAATCTGTGACAGTTGTTTCGTGTTTTTCCCGGGATTTTTTTCCCCGATGTTTTTCCATGATGTTGGATATTGTTTGCTGTTGCTAGATCTTGTTAGAACGAGTTAGCCATGATGTAAATGTAATGATTTCGTATGAAGTCAGCATTTTGCAGTGTTGCAGTGACATGTAGTGCGGCGTGTGGTAGGAGGCTTAGGCTAGGTCTTGTGAAACTGGTGCTCAAAGAGCGCTGTCTTTTTCACCCACAACTGTTCCAGTCGGGATCGAGTTCATGCGATGGAATGCTTCGCAAAGACTCAACGATAACTGCCACATGCTGCCGCCACAAAAAGCCTGTGTGGAGCCTGGGTGGAGCCTGTGTGGCGAGCCGAGGTGGTGGAATCTATGCAACGCCTCAGGAAAGACAGAAGTTTTATCCTGGCAGAAGTGAAGGGTCTTGTGTTGAAGAGTACAGTGGCCCAATCCGTCGAATACATGAACGAAACTCACCCGCACCAGCTGAGGGGAGCAGCTTGTGTTTCAGTTCCACTGATTCCACTGATTCCACTGATATAGCTGGACCAGCTGCATCTTTGGACCTTGTTGCTTGGTGAGTTGATCGCTTTCTTAAGCCACCAGGATCCGATTTGGACGCGACATAAAAGCCAAGAGTCAAGACTGAGTCAAGACTATTCACTATTCTTGACTTCAATCAAGCTTTGAGCTTTTCCAGATACTTCCAGATACTTTCAGATACAGTATCTTCTAATCGTTCCAAGGCTCTGGATCTCATCATATCATCATATCTCTGCTTTTTTTCTTTGCCTGGCTGAGGATCTTTTGACTCCTTTGACCAAGTCGTTGGATGCCGGGCTGATATCCAGCCTGCACACGACTCAGGGTTTTGCTTCCCGAATGTTCAAGCAGAAGCGGAGAAAAACTGTTTGGAGCAACATGTCAAGCAATATAATTTAATAATATAATAGATATATCTGGCAATTGACACATTGACAGGCTGACAGGATAGACTGTGGTTTTTGATCTGCCACGTAAGATTATGTAAGATCAATATAAGATCATGCAAGCCTTATGAGCATTATGAGGCTGTGAACCATGCCAAAACTGAGGTTGAGTGTCTTCTCGAAAGTTGGTGTACAACCGGACAGCAGGACTCTGAAGAGCACAGTGGAGCTGTGCTTTGGTCGTTTGGATCAAAACCATGGCTGTGAAGGCAGGCATGGTAGGCGTCAGTAGTGAGTGATGGATGTGGTGAATTTGAGGACGTACGACATCCTCATTCACTTACACTTTGCAACAAGGAGCTTTGAGGAGGCACCGGATTGACAACTTTGGTGCGGTTTCTACATGTTTCTCTGAAATTTTCTCTATATGTTTCTACAGTTACAGTGTTTTTAGAGAAACTTCATTTTCACAGGCTTCCCTGAAGCAGCATGATGTGAGCAACAAACAGCGACACATCGACCGTCATCGACCTGTCTCCAAAGTGCCAGGTGAAAGACTTGGCGAAGCACATGCGTGAGGCTGACTTGCAGCCAACACAGCGGACTACGCTCGTGATGCTCAAGACTTTCTTGCAGGACTCTTTTGAAATGAATGATGAATGATTAGTGAATGGTTGGTGCATCCGGCTGCACATAAGTTCTTGAATGGGGATACATTGAGCCTTGCTGGTTTCAGATGAGACTAACAACAAGCTTGACGAAATCTTGTCTGTGACTTTGACAAGTAGTTTGCTTTTGGGCAAAAGATTCTCAAACAACCAAGGCTGCTCTTTTGTTGTTTCTTTGCCAAACATTCCCTAAAACCCTGATCATTCCAGATCCCAGCTGGAATCTGCTTTTGGGCGGAGTTATGATCCCAAGAAACCACTCGTGCTGAAGCGCTTTACGGTGGTTGTGCAGTTGATTGCAGGAGGGTTGTCTCAGCGGCTTGGAGACATTGATAATCATTGAGACAGTTCAGCGATTCCAGCGATACAGAATGACTGCGTTTTCTTCTGGGTCAGCACTGGGTCAATATCTCCAACTGCTTTTGAGGTGAGGCGTTGCAATGCTATTCTGAACTTCCTGACCTTCCCAAGCATGTTGGTACACAACTCGTTGAAATCGCATGCCGAGACAGGCAGTCTGCCCATTAGCAGTCGACTGGCGGTCCATTTGTCCCTCACTGGTCCCCTTATCGTTTCGTCACCAAAGGCAAGAATAAAGGGGTGCTGTACTAGCTGCATTCAGCAGTACTATCAGATTGAGATAGATTGAGTGCAAGGCCTTTTTGCGAGTTTTCTCTTGAAAGTAAAAATTGTTAAGACATTTGCACCGATCTCTTCCGCAGGCGGCTGCACGATATTTTGCCGAGACTGGCCAGTGGCCAGATTCCCATGACAGCTCCTTGGCTAGATTCCAGGGGTGGGAATTGGGAAGTAAAGAAACCAGCATTGATGTAGGCTAGGCTATATTAACGTGATATATTTACTGCAGCAAAAGACTTGATTAAACCAGTTTTTTCTGCACGCGCACTACTTCCCCATTGTTGGAAAACTCAAGCCCGATTGCCTGGCCATCACTCCAGACCGACTCGTTGAACCTCATGCTGAATGAAGCTCTACGAAGCGGTCAGCCAGAAGTGGCCAAAAAGGCAAGTGCTCGTTTCAAGTTGCAAGTTCTGCAGCAGCCTTTGAGAGTTGAAACTTTTTTTGGTCTTGCGTTGGAACCAAAAGCAAGTAGATATACTGTGCCCTAGCTTTCAGGTCACACACACACATAGGCCCAGGTAAATCATATATACAAACACACGTGCAATTATAAAGCGTCATATGTATATATATATATGTATATATATATATGGATATATACATATATATGGATATATATATATATGTATACACATAATACACATACATACATGATAAGATATGTGCAAACATACTTATGCATAGTTGCGCACAGCTGCGTTCGTCGTTTCCAGTGTTTTCCAATTTGCAGCGTCAGGCCTTGGACCTTGCAGAGCAGCAAGGTGTGGAGAAGAACAGCCGTACCAAAGCAGCACTGCCATGGGAGCACTGGGCATCTCGGGGCTCGGGGCTTTTCACTTTCTCCCAGGGGGTGGTGCTCCATGGTCCATGGTTTTCCTCACTTCTCACAGTGATTTCTTGTCACCGCCCAAATTCTCAGCCAAGGCACGTACAGCTTGCTCGTACGCTCTGAAGTGGATACAACAGAGGTACGGAAATGGTTGAACGAGGTCAGTGCAACAGGCTGGGTTCCGCCGTTTGGAGAATCAAGACTGCAGGGGTCACTTGACTCTACTTTCTCTTTGCATGCTTGAAAATTTCAAACGGCAGAGTTCAAACTCTTGAACAACAATTGGTTCACAGGCAAGTTTTCACATGTCGAACAAAGCTTGAAGATAGCTTTTCCTTGCTGATTGGAACCTGAGTTGAAATGGGTGAAAGGCTCCTGATTTGCAAATGGAAACCTGCCAAAGTCCTTTGTATTTACTTTTCCTTGACTGATGAAGATAGCAAGACTTGAGTAGAAGACTGAGAGTCGCTTCCTTGGACCGAAACGACAGTGAGGAGTCAGTGAGGAGTCACCTATATTCCCCAGCTCTATTTGGGGGTTACAGTGTAGGCATCGTTCCTTAACTTCCTTAAAGGTTTAAAGGTAGTTTTTTTCATTTGGAGAATTTTGTGAATTTCGGCCAGTGCTTTCCGAATTCGGTGCCCGAGTGCTGAGATGGTGAGGCCAAGTGGATCCCATTGTGTCACAAGCCGTCCTGGAAGTTTGCACAAGGACAGGTGATGTGCAATTGGCTGAGCCTTGGCTGAGCCTCAATGTTTCCATATGTTTCCAATTTCCTCAACTCAATGTTTCATAATGTTTCTACTTTTTGAAGTAGGAAAGACGGTGCTGATGTATGCTTATTCAAGGAAAAATGTCTAGCAACGCACTTTTGCTCAGAGCTAGACGGGCTTTTGTTTCGATTGGGGTGCATGTTTGGCGACATCAATCGCAATGAAGGCGTGCCACATCATGATGTCAAGAGGCAATGCGGTAGGGGAATGCAGCTACTCCTTCACGGGGCATTTTCCTGGTTTTGTGCAAGAAGTAGTTGCTCTCCAGAATCTTATCGCATCTTATGACTGTCTCCTTTCCCGCACTTGGCCGCCCAGTTCAGTATTCACTGAGGAAAGCCTTGCTGCATTGTTGAAACCCGACGAAAACAGTCAGGCTCGGGTTGCTTGGGCATTCAGCTCCAGGGTCAGGTTCTTTTCTTCATTGCTTGTCCTTTTCTTCTGTTTTGCTTGGTCCTGTTTTGCTTCATTCCTAAACTTTCCCTGCCCTTTTGTCAAAAGTTGTTGATTTGTTCATGTTTGTTCCATGTTTGTTCCATGTGATTGTCATGGGTTGGCGAAGCTCCTGGATCCTGCCGAGGCACCCGCTTTCATGGCCCTGATCCGCTTCTACACAGAAGCAGGAAAGCCAGAAAAGGCCTTGGAACTCTACGACAGCCTCGTGCACAAGGCCGATACTGTTCGATCATCTTCTAAAGTGTTCAGACACGTGCACTGAGTATACTGTCAGTATACTGTAGATCGTTTAGGGAAAGGTTTTTTTGATGTCTTGTTTTTTGGCAAAGTTTTGTGTTTTCTTTTCATCGACATGCGCCTTCTCGAATTTTCCCACAGTCGTGCAGGTTGATGGGAAGCCGTTCCTCCGCAGCACTACAGGCTTATGTAGGCTTTATATCTACCCATGGAAAAAAAAGAGAACATGGAACACATGCTTTGGCGGAAGTTAGAAGTTTGCTTATTTTTGCTCGACAGGTTGATTGGTTTGGGATTTGGTTAAGAGTATCGCTGAGACGGAGAGCCTGGCAGCCAAGGTCTCAAAGACCACCGATCGATGGGCGAACGAAGCACTGCATCCTAACAGCGGCCAGCTCCTGCCATCGACAGGACGTGAATCCAAACGGCACCTTTGAAGTGGAGTCCTGTAGGAGTCCTGTACTCCTGTAGGAGTCCTGTAGGAGTACGAGATCGTAGGTAACTTCATTCCTTGTGGTTGCGACATCTTTGTGAAATGTGAGGAGAATGCAGCTGTGTCAGTGACTGTTACGCAGTGAGAACGCTTAGAGATGAAAGATGTGCTGCCAACAGGACATCGCTGAAGAGCTACATGAAGCAGATCCAATGCGAGGCCTTTCAGAGTCCCTGAAAGATCTGAAAGCTTTCAAAGAAATTCAAGTCATTTGTTGTCCGGTCGTTCAAGTCATTTGTTTTCTGAAATTGATGCTTTGTGGATGTTTGTGGATGTTTGTGGAATGAACTTTTCCTGCATCATGTACGAACCTAGGGGTCTAGTGAGTACACAGGGGAGGACGAACAGCTTTGGCCAAAAGTTACATGCTCTTTCTTCCAAACCTGAGCCCTGTTACTGTGCAGGTGTGGCAATGATGCGGGGATGCAGCATTTTGTCTCAAAATGGCTGCATTGTGTGTGATTGTAAGATATTCTAACATCATCATTATCATCATTTCGCAGTCTTGTTCTTGGTGTCCCTGCAGTATGGGTGCTGTGCGACTCAGTCAGTTGAAGACTTTACTCAAGTTCTGTGTAGCGTATTTCAACCGATGTGCACATTGCCAAGTGAACTGGTGTTAGTATAGAATGCCTCTATTCGAAGTGCTTGCGCAGTGATGGATACCGGAAATCGTAGCATGCGCAATGCCATTCTTCGGATGCTTCGGATGGAGGCAAAAGCAACGACCTTGATGGCGTGTTGAGCTTGTGGAGTGGCTGCAGTTACGGAGTCTTGCAGTCCTTGACAGCAGCAAGTGTTATGGTGATTTGTGTGAATATAAAACGGGCTAGCGCCCGGGTGCCGCCGACCCCTCCTTCGTGTTTAAGGCCTGGCAAACGGCAGGCTTGGACCCCCCATGACGGGTTGTAAGGGTTTTAAGGGTTTTAAGCGTTTGGAGGGTTTTTAAGCGTTTAAGGGCTGGCAACCGGCAGGCTTGGACGCCCATAAGAAGACATTGATGTGTGGCCTTGGAGTGCCTGTTGGCTGCAGGATGAAGCATGCCAAGGTTCCCTTGTGTTTAAGGCCTGGCAAACGGCAGGCTTGGACCCCCCATGACGGGTTGTAAGGGTTTTAAGGCTTTTAAGCGTTTGGAGGGTTTTTAAGCGTTTAAGGGCTGGCGAACGGCAGGCTTGGACGCCCATAAGAAGACATTGATGTGTGGCCTTGGGGTGCCTGTTGGCTGCAAGATGAAGCATGCCAAGGGAATGTTTAAGGCCTGGCAAACGGCAGGCTGCGACGCCCATAAGAAGCCATTGATGTGTAGCCTTGCGGGCCTGGCAAACGGCAGGCTTGGACCCCCTAAGGGTTTTAAGCGTTTGGACGGTTTTTAAGGGTTTTAAGCGTTTAAGGGCTGGCAAACGGCAGGCTTGGACGCCTGTAAGAAGACATTGATGTGTGGCCTTGGAGTGCCTGTTGGCCGCAGGATGAAGCATGCCAAGGTTCCCTTGTGTTTAAGGCCTGGCAAACGGCAGGCTTGGCCCCCCCATGACGGGTTGTAAGGGTTTTAAGGGTTTTAAGCGTTTGGAGGGTTTTTAAGCGTTTAAGGGCTGGCAAACGGCAGGCTTGGACGCCCATAAGAAGACATTGATGTGTGGTGTCGCCTTGCGGTGCCTGTTGGCTGCAGGATGAAGCATGCCAAGGGAATGTTTAAGCGATGGCTTTTAAGGGCTGGCAAGTGGCCTTGGAAAGCTAAGAAGGAGAAGTTCCACACCTGCGGTGGTCCCAGGCGCCGCCCCTGCCTTGGCTAAGGCCGGGGTCGACGGATTTGACCCACCTTTGTTTTTGAGGTATCGAATAATGTGGAATTCCTGTCTTCAAACATTGTCGAGGTAGATAACGATACTGTACTTCAATCTTACTTCAAACTCGTCATGCTTGCTATATCTTGCTATGCTTTCTATGCTTATTTTTTTCTCGAGCTTGGTTCTTTGTCTTAAGATTCAGGTTGGACGGGCCTGGCAAGCTCCCCAGCACTGCTTGGAACATCGCTTTGGACACCTGCGTTGAGAATGGTGAGCTCGAAAAGGCTTGGATGCCTTCGATACATGAGCTCCTGCATCGCGAACGGCTTCGGAATTTATGACCATTTGTGATTCTACAAGTAGAACTTGACAGATGCGCTGCACTTGAATCCCTGTGCAAATTCTTCCTGTATCTGGATTCCGCCGATAGAAACGGGAAAAGACTGTTGAAGTTTTAAAAGTTTTAAGTAGCAACTTGTTCTCCCGCTGTACAGTCTCCTCTAGTTAGTTCCCATATTCAACATGCACGAGCTCCCAAGCGGTTGCAGGTGGAACTTGCTGTTGAGTGTAGCTGGAAATTTCCATATCCTTGTCATTGTGAAACTTTGGCCATCCAGACCTGAACATTTGACTTGAAACATTCTCAACATATCTACATATGTGTGTGCGTAGATGTGTATATGTAAATAAAATTAAATAAACAATTCCATGAATAAATAAATAAATATATATCCCCCTTTGAATTCGGTCCCTAACCCGGGTGTTCAGATTCTTTAAAGGGACGCCCTGTGCCACCAAAAAAGATCTTTAAAGAATGGGAACCCTTCTGTACAGGCACCTGGTACAGTGCTTAAAGAATCATACCCAGTTGGCCACTCTAGCCCATGAGGCTTAAAGAATCATACCCGGTTGCACCCCTCGAGAGGGCAAAAAATGAGCCTAAAGAATTAGAACACCCGGGTTGAGTTGTAGACATTCACCCGTATGAAATTTCACATATGTTTTGTAGCTTTGCGTGGTTCTTCGGAAATCTACCTACAACATATTTTTACTAATGTTTGTTAGCCCTAAACACTCCCAATTCCAAAAAATATGCGCAAACCAAAACACCTCCGCTCCTGCTCGCTGATCTCAATTCAATTTTTGCCGCTCTCTTGCATTATGACCCCGTGTAGAACAGAGAAAGTGGATTTTAGCAAAAAAAAATAATAATAAAAAACCGAATCACCAAAAAAACAAATCGACAGGAAGAATCACCAGAAGAAACAAAAAAAGCAAGAAAAAAACAAAAAAAAACACAAAAATCAAAAAAAATAAAAAAAACAAAACCTGCATTTTCCGCATTTTTTTTTGTTTTTCTTGTTTTTTTTCCTTGGTTTTGGTTTTCTAGTTTGTTTTTTTTGGTTGCTCGTTTTTTTTTTTTGTTTTTTTATATTTTTTCCGTCAAGCCCCTATATTCTCTGTGTTGTTGGACTCATAACTCTTGCAACGCAAGATTTCCCCAGTCTGATCTAAAGATCATTGGCAGTTCTGATTCTTTAGAGGTTAAGGCCTGTCGACCCATCAAAACCCAGTAGTTTTACATAGTTCTATGTTATTTTGGTTCATTTTGGATAAGTTTGGGATATTTTCAGGGGAAGCCTCTCTAAAGAATCAGGACCCAGATCCCAACACAGGGGTTTGTTAAGCTGCCTTCTGAAAACCACTGGTGCTATACCTGGGAATATTGGAGGTTCCCTGGGGATTCCCTGGGGAGATGGTGTTGGACCGAGCCAGTTCTGATTCTTTAGAGGTTAAGGCCTGTCGACCCATCAAAACCCAGTAGTTTTACACAGTTCTATGTTATTTTGGTTCATTTTGGATAAGTTTGGGATATTTTCAGGGGAAGTCCCTCTAAAGAATCAGGACCCAGATCCCAACACAGGGGTTTGTTGAGCTGCCTTCTGAAAACCACTGGTGCTATACCTGGGAATATTGAGGGTTCCCTGGGGATTTCCTGGGGGAGATGGTGTTTTAACAGATTTGTAAGGGGACCGAGCCAGTTCTGATTCTTTAGGGGTTAAGGCCTGTCGACCCATCAAAACCCAGTAGTTTTACACAGTTCTATGTTATTTTCAGAACGCACTTGACAACGGACAGATTCGAGATCCGAGATCCGAGATTCGAGATCCGAGATCCGAGATTCGAGATCCGAGATCCGAGATCCGAGATCCGAGATTCGAGATCCGAGATCCGAGATCCGAGATCCGAGATCCGAGATCCGAGATCCGAGATCCGAGATCCGAGATCCGAGATCCGAGATTCGAGATCCGAGATCCGAGATCCGAGATTCGAGATCCGAGATCCGAGATCCGAGATTTGAGATTCGAGATCTGAGATCCGAGATCCGAGATTCGAGATTCGAGATCCGAGATCCGAGATCCGAGATTTGAGATTCGAGATCTGAGATCCGAGATCCGAGATCCGAGATCCGAGATCCGAGATCCGAGATCCGAGATTCGAGATTCGAGATCCGAGATTCGAGATTCGAGATTCGAGATCCGAGATCCGAGATCCGAGATCCGAGATCCGAGATGCGAGATCCGAGATTCGAGATCCGAGATCCGAGATCCGAGATCCGAGATTCGAGATTCGAGATCCGAGATCCGAGATTCGAGATCCGAAATTCGAGATTCGACACCCAAAAGATCCCTTTAGGCAATTTCCTGCATCATAGTTGTATAATTCGTGTCAATTCTTTATTTCCTACCTAATTAGGTAATTTTTAAGGTAAACATGTCATCTAATTTTAAGGTAATTCGGAACGTGGAGTTGAAAGTTTGCGTGCAAACTTGCGAGGCGGGGCTGAAAGTTTGCATGCAAACTTGCGAGACGAGGTTGAAAGTTTGGATGCAAACTTGCGAGGGGAGGTTGAAAGTTCCAGTTGTTCCCTTCGGGCTGTTGCAGGTAACATCACTTCAGAGCACCCGCTCCATGTGCACATTGGATCCAAAGATCGCAAGGGCATCTGGCACACACGCAACGAACCTGCGGATAGAAGATATAGAAGTGGGAAGGGAAACTTGCCAGTTTTCCTGTCATGAACAAGCCGTTCGTTTCAGGCGGTTGCGGGTAATATCACTTCAGCGCACTCGCTCCATGTGCACATTGGAACCAAGAATCGCAGGGGCATCTGGCACACACGCAATGAAGCTGCGGATAGAAGTGAGAAGGCAGACTTGCCAACTTTCCTGCACCTGCTAGTTGTCACAACAAGCTGTTCTCTTTAAGCTGTTGCAGGTAACATCACTTCAGTTTACAAGTCCGTAGTGGCAAATGGGCCAATTCACAGGCCCTCCACCTCTGATCGACGGCTGGCAGTGTCTTTACTGTAGCCCCTTCGGAATTTCCACTTCATATATTGTCTCATACCACCTTCTTCTCTTCTCAGGTGTTTTCCCATGCGCGAAGCGTGTGAATTGGGTATACTCTGAATACGATCTCGTGTGTGCCACCCATCACGCATTCCTCATGATCTGATATATGGCGCCTGTATCGCCAAATCTAGTTGTTCAGTCGTGGAATTTGGAAGTTACTCTGTTCCCTATATATTACATGTTTCAAAACAATTTCAGTTTGATGTGTGGGTCTTGCCTCAGACCAAGAAGCGGTGACCAAATATCGTACAGGCTGAGTTCGGAACTCTGTTTGGAACTGAGGCCGTCGCCTTTCGCGTGGCGCGTTGATTAAAATGAGACAGCGCAGACTCTACGGCACCTCGGCAGGATGAAATGCAGCAGACTCACTCAGTTACGCTGTTCCCGTATACATGTCTCAAAACGGTTTGAGTTTGATGTGCGCGCCTTGCCTCAGACCAAGGCATGGTGACCTAATGACTGACTTACACGTGTTAAGTTCGGAACCCCGTTTGGAACTGCATGAGGCCATCGCGTATCGTGTGGTGCAAAGAGTAAAAATGAGACAGCGCAGAGATGCTCTACCGCACCTCGGCGGGATGAAATGCAGCAGACTCACTGGTGGGCCCCGCTGAAATTTTGCCAGAGGGCCCTAGAATGGATTCTTCTTTCGTTCTCCTCCAGTTTGTTTTCAGCGAACTATAGGCCCTTTTAAACTTCAACTGGGACAGGCCATTTCGAGTGCAATCCATCATACATCCGCCGCAGAAACGCCCAACAGCAATAAGTGGCCACATGAAGAGCAGTTCAGATTAGACAGCCATGACTAGCAGCACTTGCTACCAACGTTCAGCAATTCAAGACGCCTTTTGTGTTTTTTTGCACTGCAGTAAGCTTGTCACTCCTTCTGTTGCCATGGCAGAAGTTTCATGGGCAGCTCTTCTGCAGCCTCTTGAGGCAAGCGCCGCAGCAACAGTAGTGTTGATTCTTCAGCTCGTGCCCATCCCCCTTGCCGGAGCTGTGTTGCAATCTTTAGCATGGGCCTGGCACAAGCAGTCTCTAGCATCAAATAGCTCGGAGAATGTGGTGTGGAAAGTTGCTCGTTACTTGCCAGCGCTCACGTGCGGACAGCGCACTGTGGCGCCACTGTTGTCCTCTCTCAAAGACTTGCAAAAGGATTGCCCGACGCTCCCTGTGGTGCGGGTGTCCAGTGCCAGGTCCCAATGTCCTTGCGGCCATGATCTTCGGGAGAAAGCCCCAGTTGCCGAAGCCACCATTGCAAACAATGCGGCTGCGTCTCGGAGGACTAGTAGCAATCGCTACAAGGTTTACTCTTTGAACGCAGGCCTCTTGTGGGCGGATTTTGTGGAGCAGCAGTGCCCGGCTTGCCGCAAGTACTTCTTGGGGAATTGGTCTTTCAAGCGGCAACAGTCTGGCTTCGGGCATATATCAAATTTGCAATGTCAGTCATCCGCCGCAGATGGCTTTTTCATTATACCGCGCTACCGGAGCTTCTTTGCGGTTGAAATAGCACTTCTCAAACACCTCACTGACAGCTTGCATTTCAGCGGAGGGTCGATGAAGGCTGCAGTCTTGGTATGGGCCATGCGTCATTCAGAGGCTTGGCAGCAGGATTTGCTCTTGGGCCCAGACAGAACTCAGCTGCCGCATACCATCAGCAACTTGTTGTCCGCTTGGTATTCTTGGAGGGCCTTTGACATGACAGGCCAGCTAGCTGAGCCTATTGTTTGGGATATGACCCCAGCCGGCTTCGACGCTTCCTTGTTAGCGCATACAGCGGCCATCCGAGAGCAGCATTTAGATTGGGTTGCGGACCATATCAAAGCATGCCCTCGCTGTCGTGACAATCCTTGCGTCATTGTGGATGGGAAGGCTGGCGCTCGGCGACTGATTTGCGCAGGCCAGGACAGAGTGTACACCCGGTG